GAATGGAATCACGCTCTGTAGGATTTGAACCTACGACATTGGGTTTTGGAGACCCATGTTCTACCGAACTGAACTAAGAGCGCTTTTTTATTACAAAAAAGAAAGCTGTAAGTAAAAAGATTCTTTTTTTTTTACTCCACTACATCTTGAATGCCTATACTATCTCATATATAAACTATATTATATATAAATATAATAAATAATAATATGATATTCTTTAATATCATATTAATTTATGATTAGGTATGCCCAATTTTAATTGATCTCAATTGATCCCTTGTTATTGTATTGCTCAGAGGCGAAGTAATAAGTAGGGATGACAGGATTTGAACCCGTGACATTTTGTACCCAAAACAAACGCGCTACCAAGCTGCGCTACATCCCTTTCAATTGGTCTACAATGTCATTGTAGAGAATCCCTGTCTTGTTTTCCACATACTTATTTCATTTCATTTTCTCCATTGAGATACATAACTTATCTTGCCATTTCTTCTTTTAGATCTTATAGAGTTGATGAATGAAGCAGATTCATTAAAAATTCACAGACAAAAAAATGGAAGAAGAAAAAAAATGCATTCATTTCTATATCTTACGTCTATAGTATTTTTGCCTTGGTGGGTCTCTTTTTCATTTAATAAAAGTCTGGGATCTTGGATTATTAATTGGTGGAATACTAGTAAATCTGAAACTTTTCTACAATTACAACCATGTTCTGCAACATATATATATAAATAGAAAAGGTTGGCTAAGGTACAACCTAAGCCATTCTATTATTCTCAAATATTAAGAACAAGTTTAAAGAGGTTTATATGAAATTATCAATAAGCATGAAAAATTAAATAAAAAAATCAATCAACAGGTCCAAGATTTATTTTAGTATAAATTATATCAATCTTTATATCTAACTTGATACATAAATTTAAATGAATTCACACATTTCACATTGCATGTATTCTAGCATTAATTGTTTTCTCAACTTTTTGATTTTTGGTTCTCTTAGTATAGTAGTAACAACTAGATAGGTGATATTACACTGTGGGGTCGGATCAATTTTTTCAAACCTAAAGAAAGGATTTTTAGTCGACACCAACATTTTTAAAGATACAAGAAAAATCATACACTTGATTCATTGACATAACTAGCTTCAATTAGCTTGTTTAATTTAATAATATGATTAAAAAAAAGTATCAATAATAAATAAAAGGATAAAAAATAGCAACAATTAAATATAAAAAATGGGCTCCCAATATCATAATATGGAGAAGAAGAAAAAAGCTCATTGGAGACTTATTGTTGCTTTATCATTGACACAACTCACCACCAAAAAGATCACACGGTGACGGTTTTTACCATCGTTGTAAAAGGTCACACTACAAGTCTGCAATATAAAAAAACGTTGCATGCTCCACTAAAGTGACTACCCTGAAAGCAAACCAAACAAAATCTAATGAAGCAAGCATCTAGTGTTTATATCTAATCAGATAATTTCATTTAATTAAAAAAAATTATTTAAAAAGGGATAAATTCACCAAATAATGAAAAACAATAACAACACAAACTTAAGTCATTTTCAAAATTAGTGAAAAATCTTATACAAAGAAAATAATAAAAAGATAATAGAGCTCAATATTCAATTAAAAAAATACTTAAGAATGAAATTGAAAAAAAAAAACATGAGCCTTAAAAAAGAAGAAAAAATAAACAAACTTAGATGAATTTCTTAAACTTGAATTAATCTCTCAAACTCACAACCCATTAAATCCTAGACCTAAACTCAGTTAAGAATCTAAATTCCTAATGAATTTAATACTTAAAGATGAAACTGGAAAAAAAAATCAATTTAAAAAGTTTTTCAGAATAAGAAAATTGTAATCAAAAGAATAGAATTTAAATCTAATAGGAAAAAACCATTAAAAGAATGAAATTGTAAAAAATGAATTTTTAAAAAAAGTCTCAAATAAAACAAATAGCAATCAAGTGAATATAGACAAAATCTAACATATGAGAAAATTAAAGGATGCAATAAAAAAAATCCAATTTTATAAATGATCTTATATGAAAAAAAGAATCAAGAGAACATAGACCAAGTCAAAAGAAAAATAAAAAACAAATTAAAATGTTGATCGTAAGATTTATAGGGTCAAACGTGAAAATTAAAAAGGAGAAAGAAAAGGAAAGGAAAACAAAAGGTCATTGGCGCCACACCGTAGATACATTGACCACATGTGTTGAATGGTGATTGAGGGGGCACCATGACAAATCAAACATCGCCTTGAAAGTTGAAGTTTGGCTATCCAGTGACTCCTTACGCGCCACCCGAAAACCATGTCGTATCATCAACCTTTATTAATAATATTTATGTTTATTAAATTACTAAATAGCTTTTAAGTGAGCCTAATTGTAACAAGAAAATTAAAATGAAAAGATGAAAATACTCGTTAACACAAGCTAAAGAAATTTTGATTTTAAAGATATTTTAGTTATTTTAAATGTGTTTAAAATAGTAATTTTTTTTAAAGCTAATGAATAATAATTTTTAAAAAAAATTAAAGTAATTTAGTTATTTTATTGTGCCAACAAAATGTTAAAAAACCTATTTATCTAATCAATATAATAATGGCAAATAAATACTATGATAAAGATTTTATTAATTACAATAATAAGTTAATAATTTTTTAAAAAAAATACTATTATCATTTTCAAACTACTCTACTCTACTCTAGGATAAGCTTGAAGGGGCATATTTTAAAATATATAACATGTACATATCTGAATAGAAAAATAATATAGAATTATTTTAATATTGTAATCCGTTCTGCTATATATATATATATATATAGAGAGAGAGAGAGAGAGAGAGAGAGAGAATTGATGACTTCACCATTGCTATTGATTTTTGGATCGGTAGCACCTAAGCTATTTTATTAGTCTCAACTATTGAGAACAAGTTTAAACATGTTTATATGAAAATCATCACAAGCATGAAAAATTAAATGAAAAAAATCAATCAACAAGTACAAGATTTATTTTAGTATAAATTATAAAAATCTTTATTTCTAACTTGATAACACAAATTTAAATGAATTCAAATACTTCACATTGCATGTAAATTAATTTTTTTCTTAACTTTTCAATTTTTTGTTCTCTTAATATAGTAGTAACTAGATATAGGGTCTATGTTATATTGTGGGGTAAGATCAATTTTTTCGAACCTAAAGAAAGGATGTTGGGCGACACCAACATTTTTAAAGGTGTAAGAAAAATTATACACTTGATTCATTGATTTAACTAGTTCAATTAACTTGTTTAATTTAATAATATGATAAAAAAAAACATCACCAATAAATAAAGGAATTTAAAAAAAGAAACAATTAAATATAAAAAATAAGCTTCCAATATTATAATCTAAAAAAGAAGAAAAAAACTCATTGGAGATCCATCGTCATTCTATCGTTGACACTACTCCACCACCAAAAAAATCACATCAAGATAGTTAATATCATTGTAAAGGGCGACACTACAAGTCTGTGAAATAAAAAAAAGTTGCATACTCCGCTAAAGTAACTACCCTGAAAGCAAACCAAACAAAATATAATGAAGTGAGCATCTATTGTTTATATCTAACTAAATAATTTTATTTAACTAAAAAAAGGTATTTGAAAAAAGATAAATTCAACAAAGAATGAAAAATAAAATAGAAAAAGTGCAAAAACCTACATCATTTTTAAAATTAGTGAAAATCTTAGACAAAGAAAATAATAAAAAGATAATAGAGCTCAATATTCAATTAAATAAATATTTAAGGATGAAACTGGAAAAAAAATATGAGTTTAGAAAAAGAAAAAAAATAAACTAACTTAGACAAATCTCTTAAACCTGGATGAATCTTTCAAACTCACAACCTATTAAATCCTAAACTTAAACTCAGTCAAGAATCTCAATTCCCAGTCAATTTAATACTAAAAGATGAAACAGGAAAAAAATCAATTTAAAAAGTTTTTTAAAATAAAAAATAGTAATGAAAAGAATAAAAACCAAATCTAATTGGAAAAAAACCAGAAAAATATGAAATTTTAAAAAATAAATTTTAAAAAAGATCTTAAATACAACAAATAGCAATCAAGAGAATATGGACAAAATATAACATATGAGAAAATCAAAAGATGCAATAAAAAATCTAGTTTTATAAAAAAATTCATATAAAAAATAATCAAGAGAACATGGACTAAATCATAAGAAAAAAATAAATTGAAATGTTGATTTTAAGATTTATAGGGTCAAACATGAAAATTAAAGCTAAGAAAAAAAAATAAAACAAAAAGTTATTAACACCACACTAAAGATCCATTGATTATATATATTGTCTAACACCACAACAAATCAAATATCTCCTTGAAAGTTGGAATTTAACTGTTTAGTGACTTTTCATTTGCTACTTTGAAAAACATGTCACATCATTAATTTTTTTTTAATAATATTTATATTTATTAAATTACTAAATAGCTCTTAGATGATTCTAATTTCAACAAGAAAATTCTATTTACTAATCTTAATTGCAATAAAAAAAAATTAGAATGAAAGGATGAAAATATTCGAGCTAAAGATATTTTGAAGAAATTTTAATTTTAAAAATATTTTAGTTATTTTAAATGTGTATAAATTTTGATTTTAAACCTCATAAAAAACATGATTTAGGTATTTTATTATGCCAATAAAATATTAAAAAATTAATTTATCTTTAATCAATATAATAATAACAAATAAATTCCATGAATCGATAACAAGTTAATTAATTTTGTTTAGAAAAAATAATAATATCAGTTTCAATCTACACGACTCTATAAAACCCAAGATTGACCAAGTTCATTAGAAGAAAAAGGTTGCATGAGCCACTTAAAACCCCTGAAAGAAGTCATCCCCAATCCTCAAGTATTGTCGCCTCCAATTCTCAATTTCTTGAAGCAAACCAGTCTAAAGAAAACCAAGTAACCACCCTCTCCATGGATGATAATCCAAGAAAAAGAGCATCAAGTTCTCAAATTCCTATTGTCATTGCAAGCAGTGAATGTCTAATGAATAAGCTTGCATCCTGTTTGATAATGGACATACTATCAAGATTGCCCATCAAGACCATCTTGAATTGCCGGTGTGTTTGCAAGACTTGGCTTGACTTCATATCAGATTCTTTCTTTGCCAAGCTCCATCTTGAAAGATCACCCACCAGCTTGCTAGTCAAAACCATATCAAACAATCCTGAATCAAGAAGCCTCCAGCTTGTCCAAATAAATGGAAAGCCTGTTGGTTTGCGCTTCCGTGTTGCTGAAGAAATGAAGTTTGTTCAGGAAATCAACCTACCCTATAATAATGATTTCTTGATTGCAAACTCTTGTAATGGGCTTCTTTGCATTTCTGAAACCTTCCAAGACGGCTCCCATGATGACATTTATTTGTGCAATCCAATTTTGGGGGAGTATATCTCCATTCCACTCGCTGCTGGTCAAGGTACAAGGCAAAAGAGTAGTTTCAGATTGGGATACAGTGCCATTACTAAAGAATACAAAGTGTTGCGCACTTTTTATTCGAAGAAAGGGCCTGATTCCCAGCCTGAGGCTGAGATATACACGATTGGTACAGGGAAATGGAGAGGTGTTCACAAAGCTCTTCGTAGTCTCGATATTCTCATGTTCGATAGTTTTGTCTGCGGATCAATCCATTGGGTCTTTCGTGATGAAGACACTTGTGTGAATGTTATAGGTTCTTTTAACTTTGAGAATGAGCAATTTAGCCAATTGTCCTTGCCGCCTTGCTATGATGAGGGCTGTGTTACATTGACAGTTTTTGAAGGTTGTCTGGGCGTGTCTTTCTTCAACACCGATTCTGATCCTCAATTTGAAATATGGGTTATGAAGGAGTATGGGAACAAGCAATCTTGGACCAAACTGTTTACCGGTAGAAACCTAGATTTTGGAAACCTATATGAGCCCTTGATTTTCTTGAACAGTGGATTGATCTTGATGATGAACAATCATGAACGTTTTGCTATTTATGACACAAGAAGGAAATTCATGAAAGTTATTAGAATATGTCATATTCAGGGAAGCAAATATGCAATTGCATACAAACCATCCTTCGTTTCGCTGAAGGATGTAGCAAAAGGAGAACAGCTGAAGATGTTAAGGTAATGTGTTATCCACTCATGGTGTTGCTAATATAGGAAGGAGCAATTCCCACTTGAAGTTCTTGTGCTTCAAGAATACAATCAGGTCTTTGCATTGTGAGGCAGATGCATGCTATCATGTAGCTTCTTTGAGGGCACATTATGTACGCTTCCCTGTGTTAGAACAATTAGGGTGTTGCTTGTATGCAAGGCTTTAAATGATTTTGATAGCTGTATTTATCAGTTGCTGCTTTTTTCCCTTGATTGGTTCTATACTTTTGACAGGAGAGGAGGGTTCACATGTGTATTTGTTGACATTTTGGAATGCACGTGTTAAGATTTTCGGTCCAAACAGTTCACATAGATTACATCTGTTACTAATCACTGGCATTCTGACTATTTGCTCACACGCAGGAAGCAAGCTGGTAGAGAAGATGACGAGTCCTCTTCTGCAGGAGCATGTAACTGCACCAGTCATGATCAACTTTCTGAGAGCATTCCTCCACGGTACTAAGCACCAGTCGTGATTTTAGTTGTTATGCTCTTTGCTTTTTGCTGTTGATTGCAAATCCATGACCATGAAATAAAAACTCTTTAATTGCATGAAAAAGAGTTAAGAATAAATCTTCTGATGGTGATAAATAATTTTTTTTATTTTTTACTAATTCTAATTCTTAAAAGAAGAACGAACTAAGATCAATGCATCCCTCCTCCTCTTTAAAAATCAAAACTAACAGAAATTGGCTAATGTAGATTATTTAAGACCACGAATGTCTAATGCAATGAGACAACCCAACAAATCACAATGCTGATGTAGATATGGCTCATACCAACGTGCAAGCCCACCAAAGCCCAAGTTAGGAATTAAATCATGTTTGATCAGATTATTGATAACTCAGTCATGTTCTCAAAATCTTTTACTCTTCCTTAAAACTTAAGTAATCCACAGTTTCTTTTCTTTTCTTTTCTTTTTCCATTTTGACCACTTTTTTTTATCTTTTGTTATTGATTTAGAGGATTGAAATTAGATAATTTAGTTTAATTTGTTTTTTATATATTTTTTTATTTTTTATAAGATTATCATAATTTTAAATAAATATTGTTTTAGAGTGGATGTTCAATTTTAAAAATATGAATGTTATTATAAAATTAAATAAAAATAATTTATAAAAACAATAAAATTATTAAACTAATTAAAATTCATAACTCAAGTAATAAAATGATCAAATTCGATTCAATCTAGTATTATTTTAATATTATTATTTAGGTTATTTTTAAATTTATTAAATTTAATAATTTATTTTGATTTTGTTTTTAAATAGTGTAATTTGAAACTTGTGAGAAATTGTGTTAATAATAATATTATTAAAAAATATTTGTACTCTTAATATTATTTTAAAATTTAAAAAGGATAATTCAGTCCACGACAGAATGCTTGGCCGAATGCGCTGGTCTTTTACCGTTTGACTTAAGACTTCACATGAATAAAATTTGGGAACTCATGCTTTTCGAGATCAACTCATCGGACCACCGAGTTAACAACTAAACTATCCACAGAACACCTACCACTCCCACAAGTGGCTCGCCGACATTTCGTTGATGATGTAAGATATGCTCACTACGCTACAAAATCAATAGCAATTAATACCAAATCTTCTAAAGTGCCCACATGTGGCCAAGAACATGTCCAAGTCATAACAGCACCCACTTTCCACCTGATGACCGGCTGCCCCTGTCTATCCCATCCCCATCAACCCTTTCTCCTACCCAATACATCCGGTCATTTCCTTAACGTACACGATCATTCATTTATACAGACCTCTCACCGACTACCCTATCTCCCAATCGGACGACCGCAGTGAAATTTCCGAGGCAGGATATCAACCCTTGATTCAGTTTGCTACAACCGGATGTAGCTGAAAAAGTCTCCCCTGATGGCTACCTCTTCCAAGCTCTTATTTTAGCAGATTTGATAGTACAATCACACGCTCTAGCAAAGCGATTGACTCTACGCTATCTCTAGTTGTGATAAATAGTTTTTTTTCGCCCCTTAAGGGTTAGAGTTGTATCACAATATTTCACAAACGTTAATAATTTTTATTATTATTCTTGTGAAAATAATTTTAATTTTTTTTAATATTTAAAATTGTTTAGTTTATCTTTCGAACATTAATATTTACAAGCTTATAAAAAATAGAAAACTATTTGGAATGCTCCGAGTGCTAGTTTTGAGAATCACAAATTGGAAAAGTTCCAGCTTATTTTCTTTATTTGTTTTTCTTTTCTTTTCTTTCTGCAATTCTCACAGCCAAATTCAGGTTAAAATGACCAAAAGTGGAAGTGAAGGGACTAATTTGATCAGATTATATGTAAAGTGATCGATTGGACCAAATCCTAATACCAGAGGGACCGCCTTAAAACGTGAATTTCCGGGCTAGCACAAGAGTTTCAGTGGCTTTTAATTGCGCGGGATCACGCATCTTAAGGGAACGTGGGGAGGCCACAGCCACGAGATACTGTAAGAAGCAGCAAAGCCCGTGCTTTACAAGGGTTTAATGGGTTGAAAATCATGCCCTAACCCTAATTGCCTATAGTCCTTTGTTTAAAACGTCTTTGTTATGATAAAATGAACACGATTAACCAATGGTAGCATCATCTGAGTTTGTGACAATTACGTGCATGCTTGGGAGTCAATTTTCTATTTAGTTTTAAAAGTATGTTTATTTAAGAAAAAATATCGAAAACATACTGGGCGTGTTTTTGTAAGGTTAAATGTACTAATGATCTCATGTCTTCTTTTATTCTACAATAAAAGATATTTTTGTATTAGTCTATGTATTAATTAAGATTAAAATATTTTTATATTAGACTAATATTTTTTATATTAATCTATATATCAATTCATGAAAATATTTTATTAAGATTAAAATAAATTTTTTTAAATATTTTTAAAAATCGAATATCTGACGTGTAGTGGTAGGAGTGGAATCAGTTATCAATTTTACCATGTTTGTAAAGGTACGTATGGGTACAAAACATCTGTCCTTGTAGATAAACCGACAATGGTTATGAAACCCGGAACAGCAGGGAGCGGTTCCAGCCCGAGTTTCATAACCATTTAAAAACGGAGCTGATTTTGTCAAAAAAAAAAAAAAACTTGAATTGATAACTGATCTAGTCGGCGTCGACCAAACCAGATGAAAAACCTAAGTTAACCCGATATCAGCACCTCCGGCCGCCCCCAAGCGTTGCGAGTTTTCCTCGCTCCTCCTTTTTTTAGCTAAGCTTGCCAGCTCCCATTTTGAATACGATCGGAGCTGGGTGTTTTGCTATCTTTCCAGTCTAACTTGGTACAGTTGGGCCAACCATCTTCATTGTCCTTGTCCTCGTGGTGGTAAATGGAATCAAACTCAAGTGCTCTGCGGAGGGTGGAGAGATTTACGTCCAGGGTTCATGTCTTTTCTGATCCTTGTGAAAATCTCAAGATGAGTAGTTGCAAGTGAATAATTCTACTTAATTCTGATGACAAATTAAGTCCATTATTCTTACTTGTAGACTTTAATCGTTGTTTAATTACTGCCAAAGAAGTTCGTAAGATCTGTGACCCTTTTCCACCTTACAGCTGACAAAAACTCTTGCCTCTGTGTTAGTAATTGTGTTAGTAATACCTGCAGGATCGATGAAGGAGAGATCTGGATATTACATAACATACACTCACAACAATTAGCTAGCTAGCTAGGGTTCTTGGAGATACCTGCAGGATCGATGAAGGAGAGATCTGGATGACAAATAACATGTAGTTAGCTAGCTAGCAGATAGAATATACAACTACTCTACGAAATTGTACAAGGAAGATTAATTAATTTCTACTTTCAACTCTTAAATTCGGATCTTGTGCCAGTAGGGAATAATTATTCTCATGTGTTAGTGTGTACTCATCATATATACAGAGATGATAAAGCTTGAGAGATGAAGACAATGACATGAAATAAACATGTTTTTAAAATAATTTTAAATTAAATTTATATCATTTTAAAACATGAAATGCATAAAAACGAATATTCTATCTCTTTCTTATCTTCCATCTATTTTATTTCAAAATAGAAACCAAATCCCATCATAAAAGACAACAATCAATATATATATATATATATAATGCATTGTTAAGATCGTAAAGAAAATTTAATATTGATTAATGCGAAAGTTGATGTGATAATATTTATTATTATTGAAAAATAGAAAGAGATGAAAATAAAAATCGTTCATAGTTCAAATGATGAAGAAATTTGTAGTTGATAATTTTTTTCCACTTAATCTCCATTAATTTTTGTCCCTTTTAATTATATACAAAAAAAACCCTTTAACTCAAAGTAATGTAGCATTGGTTTTTTTTTTAAATAAAATGATAGGTTTATTGGATTTGTTGTAATACAAAAATTTTTTTATTAAAAAAATATAAATATATTGTTGTATTAGAAAAATTTATAAAAATATATAACTATTAATATTTTTAATTTTTAATTTTAAATTGTTAATTTTAAATATTGAATATAAAAATAAATAACATATTATTAAATATAAGAATAAATAGCTAGCAAGACCAGAGAGATGATGCCACATGAAATTGATGGGTAATTAACCCCTCATCTTTTCAAAAATCATGATTGTTAAAGTTGTAGGTGAACAATATATAGAACTTTATAACTTTATTCTTTGTGATTGACCAATCTAAAAGATTGAAAAATTCAACCATGGGGTCAAATTTTCTTTTAGAAAAAATCTAAGTAATTTATTTGTACTATATTGCAGGTAAATTATTTTTTAATATATAAAAATATTAAGTTATATTTTTTATATTAGAAAATAAATTTAAAACTATATAGGAAATGATCTAATATGACTCTATAGATTGTATGAATTAAAAAACAACCTGAATAATTATTAAAAACATAATCTGACTCAAAATAAATATTTAAAATGAGATTTTTGTAATGTAAATATTGAGACAATAATATATTTGATAGATTTTGGTTAGCTCAGGTAAACTTACAAATTCGCATGCTATATTGTGAGACTATGATAACCCTATAAAAAATAAATCAAAATAAATTATAAAATATATATTCAAATAAATCAAATATTGAAGTTGAGATTGAAAAAGAAATCAATTAAAAAAAACAAAACATATGACCTAATGTTGAATGAGATAGGGATAAATTATTAGAAGCACAACAAAAAAAAATTATGAGTCCTAATTCTCAATCAATTCAATGTTGAATTAATGATGAAATTGAAAAAAAAAAAACTTAAGTCAACCAAAATAACTCGTCAAACTCGCGATTGAGATTATGATACTAAGATAATCTCATAAAAAAATAAATTAACAAATATTATTAATTTCAATTCCCAGTAAATCTAATGTTAAATAATGAAATAAAAAATAAAAAATCAATTAAAAAAATAAAAAAATTATAATCCACCAAACTCGTGATTCGAGTCATGAGATGAGAATAATATCATTAAAACAAATAAAATAAATCACAATACCTAATTCTCAATTAATCTAATATTGAATGATAAAATTGAGAAAAAAATCAATAAGAAAAAGAAGAAAAAAATTTAATCAACCCATCAAATTTGTTATTCAAATAATAAGTCTAAAATAAACTTATAAAAAGCAAATTAAAAAAAAAACTATAAAGCACCATCCTTATTAACCTTAATGTTAACATATAGAATTAAAACTAGAAAAAAAATTATTTGTCTTAATATTAACTTTAGAGGAAAGGTATAGTAAAATCCTTTTCTCTTTTAGCTTTTAGTTAATGTTTAAGATTTCTTTTGACATTACAATTTAATTATATTTTTGAAGATTTTTGAAATTTTTTTAGCTTTAAATTATTTTTTTCATGTTTTTAAATCTTTTTGATGTGTTAATATCAAAAATAAATTTAAAAAAGTTAAAAAATATTATTTTAATATATTTCTAATTAAAAAATACTTTAAAAATTAACACTTCCAACTAAACTTTAAACTAAAGATACTTCTAATGTTATATTCTTTGTAAAGAGAGTTCATTCTTCCATACTTCATTTATTCTTTTTAATTGATTTGAACCCAAACCAATAGGAACAAAAACACTCACATGCCATTTTACCTAAATTGATACTTTTTTTTTTAATGAAAAAGATAACCTTTTCTTTTTTAATTTATATTTATAAAAAGAGCCATAAAGTAAAGAAAAAAGAATACTGTTTCTTTTCCAATTTCAAGGAAGATCCTCTTTGCATGCCACGTAGAGGAAAACACCTCCATGCACTCACTCACACAGGATTAATTAAGCACTTAAATTAATATTCCTCCCTCATTACCCTTTTTGGAATAACCCTTGCTCGAAAAGACAACTCTCTCCTCTTCTTACAAGTTCATGTCCCCACAGAACCCAGGGACGCTAACTCATATCCAACTCATAGTTTTAGACTAGAATATTTGAAACTCTTTAAATTAAATTCAATTTAAGGGTGTTTTTAAGGAATCATTTTAGAATTAAATTTTAAATAGAATTTAATATTTCAAAATACTTATCTATCTATTATTTTAAGAAATATTTGAATGAACAAGAGGATGCTAAAAAAATGTAATAAATGAATTATATAAATTTAATTTATTTATTAATTAAATTTAAATTAAATATTATAATTAAATTCAATTACATTATTTATAGAGACATTCTTTTTTATATATAGTTAGTAAATAAAGTCACACTTCATTTATTTGTTTTTTTTATTGGAATTAATTACCTAAAAAAGAATAATTATTTTAGGTTGTGGCTGCTCTCTTTGGCGCGTATAAATAAACCACCAACACCATCACTCACACAAAAGAAAAGATCAAACAACATCAGCAACAACCATCGCTGAAGTGAGTGAGAGAGAGAGAGAGAAACAGAAAGTGAAAGCAACTCACAAAATCCATAAACCTCCATAAAAACCGAACACCATACACTGTCTACCTCTTTCACTCTCTCTCTCTTTCTCCTTTTGTCCTTAAAAAAAGAAAATCCAAAAAGCACAGACAAAAACATCTCATCAGTTCTTTTTACCTTTTCTCTCCTAGAACGGTTTCTCTCATTTAGTAACTGTACAAGGACCGGAGGAACTTGCTTGGTCTCACTCCAGTTTCTGTCCGGTTCCTTGGAATTCGGGAGTTGGTCCGTACAGAATGGACCGGTACGGTCGGGCACAAGAAGGCTCACAATCCGATCCGGCACTGGAATGGACGGGTTCAGGACCGGAAACCGGACTTGAAGGTGACCTACATTAATTCGATTGTGACTTAATAGTTGTCTGTTTTTGTTGATTATGATTAATTATGATTATGTGGTTGATGCAGAGGGTGTTTGGCAATTGGGATTAGGGGAAACAGAATCCGTATACCCGGAGAGACCTAATGAGCAAGATTGTATGTATTATTTGAGAACCGGGTGGTGCGGGTACGGAGCTCGGTGTCGGTATAATCATCCACGTGACCGGAGTGCGGTAATTTTGACTGATTTTACTTTGGTTTGACTTGAATTGAGTTTTAAATGGTCCGTGTTTGGTAATTAGTCTTGATCTTGTGGTTTTTGGAACTGTGTTTGGAGGAGGGTTAATTTTGTTAGTAATTTTCATACGTGAAGGTGGTGTGGTTGACTGTTGTGGTTGATGTTGTTTTATAGGTTTTGGGAGCGCCAAGGGCTGGTGGAGCGGAGTATCCAGAGCGAGTGGGTCAGCCGCTTTGCCAGGTAGGTAATTTTTCTGGTTTTGAATGATTACTGTGATTTGCTGTATGTGCAAATGGTTGATTGTGGACAATGCGTGTTGGTTAAAGATATGATTAGTTTGATCGAGTGTGATGGAACGCTGATGCAATGTGTGTTGATTAAGTGCGTTATACCGGTCCGTGTCTTATGGGATGTGTTGCAAATTTGTTCTGAGAATGTGGATGCTATCATATGGTTGTATATGTTAGTGGCTGAATTAGGAGTTTTGCTGTTTAATTGTGCGTTTGGTTTGGTTGAGTTTGATGGTTTATGGGAGAAGGGATTTATGGTTGCACTGATTGAGCTGTTTTTTTTTGCTTTATTTGCAGTATTATATGCGGACGGGGACATGTAAATTTGGTGCTTCCTGTAAGTACCACCATCCTAAGCAGGGAGGTGGTTCTGCTAGTCCCGTGTCACTGAATTATTATGGATACCCATTACGCCCGGTCTGTATATCTTTACATGGGCATTTAAGATTTATGCTTTTGATCATGATGGTATTTTTTGCACTGAGTATGAATTCATGTTTGCTGATTCTTTTAGTTTTAATTGACTACAGGGTGAAAGGGAATGCACATACTACATTAAAACAGGGCAGTGCAAGTTTGGGGCGACATGTAAGTTCCACCATCCACAGCCAGGTAACATACAAATTCCAGCACAATCACTGGCTCCGCAAATTGCTCCTGTACCTAGCCCAACTTTATATCCTTCGGTGCAATCTCCCTCTGTCCCTTCATCTCAACAGTATGGCGTAATGGTTGCAAGGCCTCCTCTGCTGCCAGGTTCATATGTACAAGGTCCTTATGGTCCTGTGCTGCTTTCCCCAAGCGTAGTTCCATATCCAAGTTGGAATCCTTACCCGGTAGGTCAATAGAAATTCCTCTATTTCATTACATTCTGACCATCTACTTCTATTCATAGTAGTTGTAATCTCTTCTGGTGCAGGCACCTGTAAGTCCAGTAGCCTCTCCTAATACTCAGCCTGCAGTTGGCTCAGGATCAGTCTACGGGTTGTCAGCCCTATCTCCTTCTGCACCTGCTTATACTGGGGCATTTCAATCCATACCTCCTGCAACAGGTCCTTCAAGCAGTACCCAGAAGGAGCACTTGTTCCCAGAAAGACCTGGCCAGCCGGAATGTCAGTATTACATAAAAACTGGTGATTGTAAATTCAGATCCTCATGTAGATATCATCACCCCCCAGAATTGGTAGTGTCAAAAACAAATGTTGTTCTTAGCCCCATTGGTCTTCCTCTACGCCCAGTAAGTATCTACATAAAACTCTCTGGCATTGTGATACCTTATTACCTTATGTCAGGGCATGCATTACTAGTTTGTTTACCTAATAAAGTCGCAAAATGTCCTAATTAATCACACCCATTTTGTTTGTTGCTTACCGCATAGCATTTTTGACTAGTGTTGGTGGAGATCATTGAAACAGGATTTTCTGAATTTTCTGAATTTATATTTTTTCTGAGTGATGCGACCACAATGCTGCAGTTGTATAGTTGCTATTTCTTTCTCTCACTCCTCTTCTTGCCCTCCTATCATTTTCATCAGAAAAATTCTAACCTTGCTTTTGTTAGCTGTTTTTTTCTCGTTTGAGTCTTAGTGAAACAAAAGTTCATTTCATGTGGTTAGAACCTTGAAACTTTTGACACAACTGTGGCATACACCTGCCTGCTTCTAGTGTAGTATTTTTGGGATCTTATCAGAGTAGGTGATTGGGTGGTACTTGCCCTTGATCTCTGGATGCTTTATAGGGTGAGTCTTTTCACTTCGATTATATTTCTTGAAGTAGCTTTTTTTTTTCCTTGTGATGCTGGTGCACCATGTGAGAATGAGATTTTGACTCTGGAATTTTTTAAGCGGCATGGTTCTTTAGATTGCATCTGTGGTTCATGTATAGAACATTACATAGTTATTGTCTCTTGTCATCTCCATTTATGCTTCTGTAAGTGAAATACAAGAAGCAATGTGCTTGCTTGCTTCTCTGTGGGATATTTTATCTTGATAAGCAATTAGGAGAGTCTATTCCCATGATATGGCAGCTCTTTTCCACTCATTAAACTCGATAGCTTCTCGGATTCACAGCTTTTGTACCAAAGTAGTGCGTGGAGTTAAGCTACTCTGATGTGGAAATGAATATTTTCAAAGAATTTTTTATATTCTGGCCTGGTTTAAAATAATCACTTCATTAATGAGTGCTAAGTTGGAAAACAATACAATCAGCTTTTGAGTCCTATGATTAACATTTAATATCTGGATTGTAGTCGCAACTTCACCTTTCTGCTTTATAGGGTGATCTGATTGCATGGTGAAATAATTTGACATTTTGAGGAAGTTTCTCTCTAAACTTTCTTCATTGCTGATCATGCTCCTCTGGATGTGTTTTTGTTCTTTCAGTTAGTTCTGATTTATTTTGACATTGTTTGGGAGATCGTATGTGCTACCTTTTGTTTCTGTGCTCTGATCAGTCACATTTTCCTTGGTTTACCATAAGTCTGGAGCATTTTCTATATCATCAACCAAACAATGAAAATGTGATTCACTTCCTGAGATAATAGCTTACTATTACACAAGGTCATCTTTTTAACATGTTGAGTGTCTTTTAAACAGTGTCCTGATCTTTACATATCAAGGATAGAGTACTTGTTGAGAACGTCCATTTTCTGGCTAAATTACTTCTTGTGATTGTATTCTCAGAAACAAAGAAAATCTGGAATTTATTTAGATACTCTATTTATTTCTACTACTCTTTCTTTTGGTAGTTTTTGGGCCACTATGGGAGTTTGGAAAAGGGTTAGGCTCCTCTGTCTTAATGTTTTTATCTTCTTCTTGTCTTAGGGACTGCAGTGACATGTTTTTTTATCCATCCTTGCTGCTTTCTTATCTTCTTAAGTTGTTGGATTTGTTCAAGTTGTGAATTGGGATGGATCTGTCAGTACGATTACGAGGTGGATAAATTGAACTCATGAAGGCATGTCTTTATGCAGTTCTACATTGTAATGAAGAGAGTTGATAGTGGAGATGTGATAGATGCGTTGATGTCACAAGTTATTGTCTTTATGATGTACTGGACTTTGTTGCATCCCTTAAGCAGGTTTAGGGTTTTTGGCTGACAATTCTTTTTCCTGTCTTAATCCCTATCGTTTACTTATTTACTTAAGCATACTATCGTGGACTTATTTTGCAAGTGGTACTTACTTTATTGCTGTAATTTGCACTTGTTAGTCATGCAACCAATTCTGGGTTCATGCTTTATTAAGAGAATATTGTTGGGACTGAGTGCTGGAATCAGTGTATCTTTTTTTGTCTCTAGTGTCTCAAAGCATATGTAGTCATGGTCAGAGATGTGAGCTACATTGTATGGGCAAATTTGTCTTGGGGATGGAAGATTTGAAAACAGCTGTCATCATCTATTTCTTTGGCCATCATGTCTCATTTTATGATTGTTATTTAATTTTCTCATGCTCAAGCTGATCTTTTGATCGGCCCCCAAGAAAACTAAAATCAAAGACCATACAGTGCCTTCTGCATGATAAAACTTCTAGGTCATCATCTAGGTGAGATCATTTTTAAATGTCAAGTCATGATGACATATTGATTTATGTGGTTTCTTTGGACCTTCTATAATTTGATTGATTTGTAGTTTGTTCAATAAATTGCATTGGCAGTTTCTTCTGTCTCTTTTTGCTTTTGCTCTAACAATTACACGTATACCTATGTGTGGATCACTTGTTAGCCTGAAATCCTGATAATTCTGCTTTGTTAGCTGTGCATCCTCTACATGTTTATCTTGGTTCTCAAGTTCCCATTCACAGTCATTAAGTAAGCTATATATAACTTCTTTTCCTCTTTGAACTGATGTAGCCATATATAAAGTCATATCAGGGCATGCTGTTTTGTAGGCTTCCACATCTTCATATACTTACTTACATGTTGAATGCTGACCTACTACGTTCTTAATCAGGGTGCTCCAACTTGTTCTCACTATACACAACGTGGACAGTGCAAGTTTGGGCCTGCATGCAAATTCGATCATCCAATGGGAACGTTGAGTTACAGCCCATCTGCATCTTCTCTTGCTGATATGCCAGTTGCGCCCTACCTGGTGGGCTCTTCAATTGGCACTCTTGCCCCATCATCCTCATCTTCAGATTTGCGGTCCAAACCTATTTCAGGACCCAGCAAGGACTCCAGTTCAACTAGGTTGTCTTCTTCAACAAGCATACCCAGTGGATCGGTTGGTTCAATTTTTTCAAAGAGTGGACCTGCTCCTCATTTGAATGTGCAACAGTCAGGCTGGAGTTCTGGTCCTTCAACCAACAGCAGCGGCAGCAGCTCAGGGACCTGCACCTCAATCTAAGTAAAGATATTGAACAACTCCTGTCCATTCCACTTTTTGGTAAAATTCATGAAAAGCGGCATTTTTTTCTGGCTTCACCATCAAATAGGAGGCTTTAGTTTCCCAGCTCTGATGGTTCCACGATTCAGGTCTAGCACACATTAGCTTTGATAATTTCCATGTTCATATAATCTCATAGCCATCCTTTTTTATATTCAATAAGCTATGGCTATTTCTCAAAAATCTTAGCAAACCCCATATAGCCATCCAACTTTTCTTTCAAATAACTATGAATCTACAGTTCCCTCCCTAAGGAAAATCTGCGCCCACATCTCCCTTTTTTTGGAGTCTGTTAATTTATATTTCAATCCTTTTTCAAAAATGAAAAAGATGAATCCTACAGCTTCTTCCTTTTACATCAGCTGTGTCTTCATGTCTATCACTTTACGATTTTCTTTAAATTTGGGAACAAGCTTCCAATTTGTCTAGAAAGGAACTCGAAGGTTTCTTGTTCCCCCTCCCCCCCCCCCCTTTTTTTTCTTTTTTTTTTTTTTATCTGGGGTTTGTTGTGAAAAAATAGAAGTAATTACAAAGACTCGAAGGTGGCATGGATCTCAGTGCTGCCTTGTGATTAGGTACATAGTTATGCCGTGACAATTGAAATGCTTGCAATTTTTATTGATGGATCTATTATGAAATACAAATATATGAAGGGTCACTCAAGACTGTAATAATCATTTCTCTTTCATTTATTTTACATGTGCTTTATTTTATGTATGCCATATCTGGTAAAATTTTGTTAGAGAAGAAAGATTATATGAGTATAGCTTTATAAATGATGGTTTCTGGAAAATTTGTTGGCCTGCACGGGCGCGGTTACTTTTGAGGGAGTAAAAGGCCTTGTATCGTAGTTACGCAGATTTTAGAGGATTATTGTGTTGATCATTTAGCAAGCACACAAGCTTTTCGAGATATGGTCTCTCCACCTCGAGTGGCATGTACTTGTCTCTAAACTTGGTTTTTCTGATCACTGTATCTACCCGCGTGGTTTCCTCAATTCTGCATTTTTTGAAATCCTTTCGGCCATTATTGATCGAGTGAAAAACTTTTCTTGCTTGTGAGCTCTACTAATGGCCAATTGGAGACTTTCTAACTGGGATTACGATAGACGGGTGATCTTCTTCTTCCCTGGCAATTTCTTCATGGACTATCGGGTCCATTTTTCTTGCAGCTCCTTTATAATGAGCTTCCTCTTCAAGGTTTTTGGATCAGAGCAATGAGGCTGCATGCATTCTAGTTTGGGGATGTTCTTCAAAATGCAAAAGTTATCATCTAGTAGCTTCAGCCGTCACAAGCTGTACAAAAGCTTCTAAATGAACCAAAACCAGAATCTGGGGTGAGCTAAAATGCGAAAAACAAGGTCTAAGTCAGCAATAATTCAACTTCTTTGGACCACTAATATGAAGTGCTACAATAATGTAGGGCAGGTCACTTCTCATAGATGAACCTATCTAGTTTTTGTCCGTCTTGTCAGTTTTTGCAGCATTGCTCCCGCCCCTCTCTCGATAATTGGACTTTTTAGGGGCTGGGACCAAAGGCACAAGAAAGCCCTGAATGCTAGAAAGCTGGGAGAATGGGCCTATCCAACTCCTCCTAGCCGTCCCACATTGAAGAAGCTAAGATTGTACGGACAGCTACTGCACAAACACTGGAGTTGTGAATACTCTTACACCTTGTATTATAGAGTAGAGAACTGCAATTAAGTTGTTTACTGTTATGTACAAGCATTTAATAGAAAGGATTTATGAGCTGTTAATGAATCATGAATTTGTTGTGCTCGCATGCACTAATCCATGGCATGTGATCTTAGTACTGTCTAAAAAAGATTAGGCAAAGAGCCGCGATGGCAGGCATCAGGCACTCAGTATTTGCACTTAATAATGAAGCACCAAAAGGTGTTTGGTCATGCTATTCATTAAATCCCTACAAAAGCAAGGGAGAGAGCTGCTATAGTCCAGGTTTTCAGGCTCTATAGTCCCGCTTTTTGCACCATAAAATAGAATTAATAATTAGCTAACTAGATTAATTAAGACTTTTAATTAAACAACATTGGATTAAAAGTGGTAATTAAGAGGAACAGGATGGACATTCCAAATCTCTTTCTTGCTCGAATGTGAAAACATTTAGGGTAATTACAGTAAAAGGATTTGCAGGTAATGAAAAACACAGATATCATGACTTGTAGAATTCTTGATACGTGCATGCAGCTTAATTAGCAGTGCTCAAAAGAGTGAATATCCAAAGTTAACTGCATCGCCATAAGCTGGATATGATAACGAAGAGCTAGACACTGAAGACGTAGCTTGGGGCGTTAAGCCATAAGTAGGAGGATTGTCGATGCTATACAAGGTATCCATGCATACATTTTCCACCATTAATGGGTTGTTCATCATTGCTGAGAGGTCACCGGAATTGCCATCCCATGACAGTTGGTCCCCCCAAAATCCAGGGTTGAGCTCATCAAAACCAGGAAAGTTATCAGGAGTATATGCCTTGGTTGGCACATTTGTGATTTCGAGAGGAGGGGCATACTTGTTACATTGGGAATGATCTTCAAGGGAAGTTGTGGCCATGGAGCAAGAGTATTGATCATTTGAAGCATTGGATTTGGTGGTTTTACTAGAGGGGCTTGAGGGTGGTGGCCTCAAGCAGTTATCAGGAACAATGCAGCCCAAGTAACCCGAGTTAGAATCTTCATTCGAGAAAAAGAAACTGTTAGTTTCATGAGCTGATCCATCAGAAGATTCAGCGTATGTATCGCTACTTGATTGGTTTGGGATCATATTCTGACAAGTTTCAAGCTTAACAGGACTGCTCTGATTGGTTGGCTGTTTAATCTGAGTGTTAGTGAGGAACTGTGATTGTGGCAAGAAGGCTTGAATGTCAAATGGAGTAAGAAGTGAGTGAAGGGTTGTGTTATCAGAGTAATTGAAGTTGGTTCTTGCTTGGGTGCCCTTCATGGAAAGGGCAGCCCTATCATAAGCTAGAGCTGCTTCATGGGCAGTATCAAAAGTGCCAAGCCAGTGCCTTTCTTTTGTCGTCGGGTCTCTAATCTCAGCAGCATATCTGCCCCAAGGTCTCCTCCTAACTCCAAGAAACCTTCCTGGTTCTGCTTGCTTTCTTCTGCCTCTCCTCTCACCAGTTTGAGGCGGGGTCGTGTTTCTCTGAAGGAGAGCAAAGCCTGCATGGATGTTAAGGGTGTCATATCCTTCCAAGGGTTTATCGAAGGTTTTGGATGTGGACATTGCTACAATTAGTGATCAGAGCCTACTCAAGGAACGGGAAGAGAGGAGACAATGATGTGAAGGAGAAGGCTATAGGGTAGAAGGGTGAGTGAATAAAGTTGGGAGGAGAAGTGAGAGTTCAGATTTTGTGTTGTAGTGAGTGAGCTGGTAGGGGATGATGCCTTTTAAAGACCTCCGATTTGGGCATGAAGAGAAGGAAAGGGACACTGTGGATGTCATTCTTTGGAAGACCATGCCCTCCTTTCCACCTACATTTAAAACCTTCCCTCTTTTTAATTTTTAGTAGCTAGAACATGAAGATTCTCTAGTCTAACTTAGTTACCAAAAGGGGAGGACAGGATAGGTGTAGTTTGCCCTTCAACTCTTGTGGTTGGAAACTACAACTTTTGTGGACCCATGTTGAAATCCGGCTCAAAGATTAGATCAATCCGCTCAACCTGTAATCAATTTTCGAGTCAAGTTTTACAACAATATTGTGAGATATTAAAAAATTCTAGAATACTTTTAAAAAATTGAATAATTGCAGGTTTATAATTCCTATTGCTACTAAATTTACATTATTTCTGCTTAATGAATCACTTTTATAATTAATCAAAATCGAAAATTATGAGCCTGAAGAAGATTAAATACCACGCTAGTGTCGTCCATAAACAATGCACACCCGAGAGTGGCAGATGTTGATATTAATTCTCTGCGAAGGAAGTGGAGAGGGGAGATCATGGCACTAAAATATATGATTAAATTTTGATGGATTTTTATTTGAGGAGGGAAAAACTATCATCTCATTTGACATCTAATTGTTTTACTAAAAAGGTATTTTTGAGGTAAACATTACACCAGGTAAATGCAAGCAATGCCACTTTGTTAAGCACAAGATAATGCTAAACTTAAATATTTTTTAAAAAATCACGTGCAAGCCAAGTAGCTAGCTCACTAGACTGTCTACAAGAAAATTGGCACTCTATTATAGCTACTTGAGCTGGGCAACATTATTGCATTCATTATGTCAAAACAATATCTTAATGGAAGGAAACATATGGGAATGTCAAACAAATAAGAATTAAAATTAAAAAAAAATGATTTTAAGTGATTGAATTAAGCATCTCTTGCAAGTATATAATTCATCTTAGTTTTCCCCTTTTCTTACCCCACTACCAAGTTCTTAAACTTAGCTTAGCACAAAACATAGGTTATAGATTAGGCGAGTTGATGTAAATTAATTTAAAACAATATATTTTATATTATTTTTTTGAGTTAAACCAGGTTTTAACTATATTAATAAAATCATTCTAGATTGGGTTGAGTCATTAAATTGACCTACTAAATTAGATTGGGTTTAATAACAATGAAATAATGCAGTGGTTTTGCTTATTACACAGGATTCTAATATCCTAGATAATATCAAATATTTGAATTTGAAGAGCTATCATCAATATTAAACCTTAATTATATTGGCTACATAAGCACATGTGAATCCGCAGTTTATGCAAAATAAATCAAAGAAGTTACATGTAAGTTCTTGTCTGCATCATGATTTTTCAAAGGGAGCAGTTAAAATGATCTCAACTAAGCAGAAATTGTAGCATTAAGAACTTGATGATTAAGATAATCTATGTTGGCTGTCGTGTCCTTGTGCCTTGGGAGCCACCCCACCACCTCAAAGAACAAAAGGTTGTCTTCGTAAAGGTCCCTTAAGTCAAAGTTTCAGCTCTCTCTTCCTTGTCAGTTTATAGGATTAATTTACTTACAAGTTTACAAGTTTTACAGATAAAATCCCTAATTAGACTCTTCTTTTTTAGCCTCTAGCAACTCCAATTTTTAGTATTTGACTGTGATCTCTATATGCAATATGCTATTTCATCTGAAAAGTTTGGTCAGTCCCTTTTCTACATTTCTTGCAACAGGATATACTAGAGGGTCAAATTAAATTTTTTTAAACTTTTCAAAAAAAAAAATTCAAACATTTCTAATGTTTTTCTAGAACAAAAAAATATAAATTATATAGAAATTAATCTGAATCATGTGACCATGATAATTCTATATAAAAAATAAAAAAAATATGAAGTTTAATTTTCAATCAATATAGTAACGTTGAAGAATAAAATTAAAAAAAATTGACATGAATTAATTTGCTAAACTAATAACCTGGGTTATGAAACCAAGACAACCTCAAAGAAAATAAATGGAAAAAATAATCTGAGTTAACATGCCAAACTTATAATCAAGGTCATGAAACTGTGATAACCCTATAGAAAAAAATTAAAATAAATTATGAAGCTCAATTTTCAAAAAACTCATTGCTAAAGCATAAAATTGAAAAAAAAAATTAATCTAAAAACATGATACAATAAAACGATCTGAGTCTACTCGAGTTAACTAGCAAAACATGTGACTCAAAATATAAGATTATGATAATATCATAGAAAACAAACCAAAATAAATCATGAAATCTAATTCTTAATCAACTTAATGTTACGGGATGAAATTGAAAAAAATAATTAAAAAAGATAAAAACTCAAGTAAATTGGGTTAACCCGCCAAACCTATGACTCAATTCAAGGGACCGAAATAAACCTTATAGAAAACATACTAAAATAAATCATGAAACCTAATTCCCAATCAACCTAATGTTAAAAGATGAAATTAAAAAGAAAATGTCAACTAAAAAAAAGATAAAAAAACTCGAGTTAACCTGTTAAACCTATAACATGATTTATGAGACCGAGCTAACCATGCATAGAGTAAATCATAGTAAATTATGAAATTCAATCTCTAATAAATTAAAAGTTGAAGTATGAAACTAGAGAACAAAACATGGATTTAGAAAAAAAAAAATACTATTAAAATGAATAATGTTTTGTGAGTTGATGCATAATATACCACCCCTTTTAGTTTATTATTAGATATTTGACCTATGTTTCATCGCTAGTTAGATATTTTTTCTCAACAAAAATCAACAAGTTTTTTGTATTTAATTTTTTAAGTGAAAATAAAAAAATTATACATCCATGTAATCAAATAAATTGAGAATTATATATGTTAATAAGTGAAAAAAACTATAAACGATGACTAAAAATAAAAAGTGAAAAAAATTAAGAAACAAGTGTAAATTAAAATATTTAATTTTGTATGAGGTGACATTTATATGGTTGTATTTGCTAAATTTGTTAATTAAAATAATTTTTTATTCAATCAAATGATAATAAAAATAGACACACACTAAATTAATTAAATAAAATAAAAGTAAAAAAAATATGCAGAACTGCACACATTAGAAATATTATTTGAAAATAAAATTCATTTACACAAAAAAATTAAAAAATATAGATTAATCAGAAAAAGGTCCTAAAAAACTAAATGCATAATTATCATTTCAAATAGGCTTTTTAAATAACATAAAAGAAAGAAGAGATATCAATCTAAATATAAATAAAAATAAAAATAAAATTAATTTTAATAAATAAAAACCAAAAATAAAAAAAAAATTTTTCTTAAAGAAAAAAAGTGAACAGTGTAAAATTTTTCTTAAAGAAAAAAAGTGAACAGTGTCTTCCACAATAAAACTTGTGGATGAATCTAGACCATAAACTCAACTGGGTTTAATATTTGTTTTTCCTCTTAAATTTATAATAAACCTTAAAAAAAAGTTAAACAATGTCATCCATGGTAAAACATAAAGGGAGTGAACAATGTGGTTGCACAATATTCATTTCACATATTTTTTCCTTAAATTTATAGCAAACCCTTAAAAAAAAAACAATAACCATTGTCGTTCATAGTAAAACGTGAGGGGGTGAAAAGTGTGTTTGCACAATGGTTGCCCCCACATACTTTAGTTTATTTATGATGAATTCGGACCATGAACTCTACCAGATTTAATAATTTTTTTCTTTAAATTTATAGCAAACCTAAAAAAAGATGAACAATGTTGTTTATGATAAAACATGAGAGGGTGAACAATGCGGCTATATAGTATTTATCTCATATATTTTCCCTTTAAATTTATAAGAAAAAGCAAAAAAAAAAAAACAATAAATAATACTTCCACATTAAAGCATAAGAGGATGAACAATGAGATTGTATAGTATTCACCACATATACTTTAAATTAATAAGTTTATATATATATATATATATATATAAAAGGGAAAAATAGGAAAAATATCATGGACTTGCAAAGTGTTTTTCTTGCATGCTTTAGATTATATTATTTATTATTATTATTATTAATGGTAATATACACTAGAGTTAAATATAACTTAGTCCTTGTATTTTGATAAAATAAATTAATTAGTACTTGCAATATAAAAAATAATGAAATGATTATGAGTTAACTTGCGCTAACCATGCTTAATAATATTTTGCTATGTAAAATATACTGTTTTTTACTTAATTTTTTCATCTTATTTGCCTTTTTTTTTTCTTTTCATAATCTATATCTGAAAAATAAATTGAGAAAGGAGGTGAAATGGATTAAAAAAGAAGTTAAAGTTATAAATGTTTGAGATTAAATATATAGTTTTCTGAAACCATGAAGAATAATTAATTAATCTTATAGGGACTAAGTTATAATTAACCTTTAACCTACCATTGCGCGAACGCGGCCAGCTTGCTCCACATTTACCCTTTGCAATGCCGCCGAGGCTTGGAAACTTCTGAATCTGAAAAATGCACATCAGGAAGTTTATCGTAAAGCAGGGTGAAATGTTACCTCACTGATGGAAAGTTGAATATGAGGAGGGAAATGGCCTATTTTGTTAAAAAGAATTATAGAAATTTATACAGTTTTAATTTAATAATTTTAGCCTTTAAAAATAATTTTATATTAATTCTAAGATATATTCTTTTAATTAAAATTATTTAAATTTAGAATGTATACAAACCCATTGTTACTTTGCGCTAAAATTTTATTACTTAATTAAAAGAATAGAAACGATAAGAATTAAAATAGTAATTGTTGGAGTATAGTGTCATGTTTAAAAAAAATAAATTTAATTTGATTAAAACTTTAAATCTGGTGCCTTTATTTATTTTGTTAATAATTCTTTCCAATAAAATTCAGGAAAAGTAAATGGAGGACACGGGAGGGAGGGCCGGGACTCTGCCTGTGATCTCAT